TGGTAAGGTTTGAGTCTATGAATACTCCTGAACCTATTCATGGAAAAACTGAATTGTTTTTGACACATTTGGATATGAATGAGAGTTCATATTCTGATCTAAGCTCCACATTTTTTTAAGTAAACAATGAATTGTAAAATTTGGCAGATGGTAATGTTCAGAGGATCATCAAGTTCAACATCCGCCCACGTGAGCAGAATATTTTCACAATAATATGTTACAATATTACATTGTATGTAACTGTCCTACGCTGATATCAGCAAGATACTTTGGTCTTTGATCTTCCAAAACAATGCAGGTGGCAGCTCTGGAGGTAATCTCAGCTTTCGCGTCAGGCAGTGTTTATACAGGTTGTTTTTAGTGATTGTACAGGTTGTCATATTAGCATCTATTCAACATAAAAATCTGAGCTGGGCAATGCTAAGATTTTTTCTGTTTGTTTTGTGCCAACTTGCAGATTCCTCCAACTTTTAAACTTGCACAGTTTTAAAAATAAAAAAGAAATGTCTCACACCTACAATACATGTGCAGTGAGATGGTGAAACACTGGCAGGCTAGACACCCCACAAAAGCACGATACATGGCTAAATGCACTCTCTGGGATGGATATTAAAGAAAACCAATACCTGTGATGTAGAGGAAAAGCTTTGGAGTCATGTCAAGAGGGCTTTTGGCTGTGGGACTGGAGGATAGTGCCAAGCTGGGTGAAGTAACCAGCTCCTGAAGGAGGGTATGAAGCATGAGGCAGGTTGAGGTTGGAGGCTAGTGTTGTCACAACAGAGGTTGGCGGGCACCTCTGTCTTTGGGCTGAACTCTGGAGTGGAGTGGAGCAAAGAAATCTGTAGAGGACAGGTCTGTAGAGAACATACTGCCCCAGTGTTAATTGGATATTGTAGGATAAGTTAATGTAACAAAGGCACACATAGCTAACAGTAATATATTGTAATACAGTACCCCAACAGTGCTATATCTTCATGAGGGTATGCTCAGTCTTTGTCAGAACTGTTAAGAGAGGTGTTGATTTGATTAATGGCCCCTTTGAGAGAAGGGAAATTCATGCAAAGTTGTTCTATCCTGATGGGGCTGGTCTCTTTCAGGATGACAGTTTCCCTATCCATAGAAGAAATGTTTGAGTGTGAAAATCTAGCTATGTGCTATGGCCTTCACAGTCAACAGATCTCAGTCTAATCAAACACCTATGGGAGTTTTACTATTTGAATTTTGAGCTAAGTTCTCAGTCCCAAAAAAATGGACTTGTTTATTTTCATGCTCTCATCCTTTTTTTTTCTTTGATGAAATCTTGTGATCATCATTAACTCACATATATTTCTCAAGACTGGTCAGATGCTTCAACCTAGTATGTAGTTTCAAATTTGTTTGTGATGTGGCTGACGTTTGGACTTGTTTTTTCAGAGCCGCTGGGTACAATTAGCATAGTGATGTGAGTTTTTTCCATTGATATCTGTGCTGACTTGTAGGGCTGCCACCGACTAAGAATTTTCCTGGTCATTTCCTGGTCATCCAATAGTTATGTTCAAGGTCAGAGAAAGAATAGTGTAAGAAACATTGTTAAAACTGAAATACAACAGTGTGCATATCCTTAATATAGGCATGTATTTTATCTATAAGTGCACATCACACACAGAGTGAGCCCCCTGTTGATGACGCTGTCGGCAAAGCAGTAATGATTGTGCTAAGTGGCTAATGGGCATGTAGCTACTAGGGATGCACCGAATATTCGGTAACCGAATATATTCGGTCGAATATTGCAAAAAAACACACATTCAGTTTTCAGTGGAATAAGTTAAAAGCAAGGCCGAATAATAGCAGTGTGTTTTGATGACGCAATCAAACAGCATGCGGTGACGGATGGAGTAAAATGTCGGCAGTTGCGATTAAAAATAGTTTTGTGAGAGCAAAAGAAATCATTCAGGAGCACGCTGTGCGAGTACAGATTTCAACCAGCAGCAGAAATGAAAGGTGAATCCGGCTGGTTGTGGGTTGAATGGGGGTCACAGACACAGACAGGAATGTATTCCTGTCAAATACGGCGGCCATAATGCTCCGCGGCACAAGATAACGGCTTACCGGCGACGGAGAAGCCCGGCTCCAGGTCCAATAAGACTTTGTTGGTGTCATGACTGCCCAAAAGTACCTGAACAGCCGAGCCGTCGCAGCACACAGGTATGTGATGTGTCAGAGGAGAAACGAGCCGTTCACATTTCTCTCTGTGGCAGGTAACGGCCCACAAACCTCACCGCACTTTAGGGACTGTTCTTTACTTATGAAGGGACTGTTCTTTACTTGTCAGGGGAGGAGGGTGGCTGGTTGATTTTTATTTTATTTATTTATTTTATTTCGATCCCCCCTATGTTAATCACTTATTGATGATCATGAAGTATGAATAAGTCAGTAAGTAATTTATTCCATTGAAATATCATTGAGGTATTATAGAAAAGTGATTTATCTTTTTATAAATGACAAAAGGCACATCTGTCTCATTTTTGCTGTGTTATCTTTATACTACTCAGAACCGTGATACTTTAACTGGTATCGTACAGTGGGTCCCAATTTTGGTACCGTGACAACACTAATCTGGAGGGGGTTCATCTGTAAAAACGAATGAAAAACTAAACAACAGCATTCGGTATTCGGTACTCGGTATTCGGCCAGGCGTTTAATTTTATTCAGCTTCGGCCACAAATTTTCATTTCGGTGCATCCCTAGTAGCTACTTACATGTTTCAGATGATATGTCATGTTTGTAGTCGACGCATGATAGGCAAATGTTATATCACCATGGGTTCGTCCTTTACCTTCTCAAAATGATCCCACACTTTGGATTTCCTGACCGACGTGCTATTAACTAGCCTATGTAATAACCGCAGGTACCAGCCCTGTAAATCAGGGGCTGTAAAGATGCCACGTCTTTAACCACCTGGAAAATGTGAGGTCGGGCATTGGACGCCACTCTTGTGCCTATTTTGTGCCAGCTTTCAAGAGCTTGGCAGCAGGTTGTGTCTGAGGTTGCTATGCAACCTAAACAAGCACGATATCAGAGCCTATTTACCTGAAGTCCTGATTGCAGAGCTGATCTTCTTCCAGGCGCTCTTTATAAGTGTGTAGGCCTATCGTCTGTGGGACAGATCTGGGTAGCCCTGCACTAAAATGACCAACTTTTCAGTATGAACATTTACTGAAGAGGGCAAAGATATTTGTCGGCTGTGACTGGTTTGTAACGTAACTCTTCCTGTGTCTGTCCTTTCAAATAAATTCCCACATGATCCAGTCATATAGCTTTTGATTTATTTTGACAAGGCTCAGCTCCTGAAAGCACCTCATGTTTGTTTTATCTTTATTTTTTTTCTGCTAAGCCCTACGGATTTGTTCATTAAATGCCGTCAAATATTAATATGAACTGGCTTCAGCAGTGTTGGTAGTTGCCGTGTTTTCTGAAATACCATTAGCACTAGCCATGCTGGTATCATGTCGGATTTCTGGGAGCTGTAAAATATGCGTCGGTAACTATAGAGTAAGCTAACAACGCTCTCATTAGTGAGTTGCAAACTGATGCACTCAGTTCAAATATGAGCATGTCTATTAAGTGCGCTCTGTTTGCACATTCATGCACAAGTCTGCCTGAATGTCTGTACTAAATTTCATGGCAATCCATCCAATAATCATTGAGATATTTCAGTCAAGACCAAGTGGTGGACAGACCAGCGACAGGCCAACAGTTCTATGGCTTGTGCGGCTAAAAAATTGCATTGCTTTTTATAGTAGTCACACTGTTTCACTATGTTCAGATATCTTATTGCTACAAAAACCTGAATAGCCTCTATTCAAACTATTTATTCTGTTTTCTTCAATACTGTCTATGTTTTTTCACACCAACAATTACCGCAATGCCAACTATAACTAGACACAGAAATCCACTAAAGCTGAGAAAACAGTAAGAGGTAGAGCAGACACTTTGACTATAATAGAAGTCTAAAGTTTAGATTGAATAAAGACTAAATGAATTGCTTGTTCCTACTTGAAGCTGCATGTTTGCAATTGATTTTGCTCCATCCACCAGGAGCACCTTTCCTCCATCCGATTTGTTGGCTTTTATTTGGTTAGTAGCCAGCCAGGGGAGGAGAAGTACGGCTACAGAGACAAGCTCATTTGAGCCACAATGGAATGGCAAGGCAAAGCACTTAAAAGCCTTGGGAAATAAGGTCTGGGTCACCGGGATCCGGGGTATTCAGGAGCGTGGCCAGGAAGGTCAATAAGGGAGAGAAGCTTAAAGGTGGGGCCAGTGGGGAAGGGGTTGGAGACAAGGGCAGGAGGTGTTAATAGAATCAGAGTTTCCTCTGGATGCGCTCTCAGAACGGGCTTGGCTGGAAGGTTGACATGTAATCATCGAATGTCATAGGAGAGCAAAAACCCAAGCTGCTACCCTTGGACTGCACACTCGATATTACTGTCATAATGTGACACAGGCAGTGACAAATCATGACCGTAAGCCTTGCAGTTTAATGTAACATTCACAAACAACAACCCTGTGCTAATACCATACATAAGTGACGGCGCCCTGCCCCCCATAGCGGCAGGAAGCCCAAATATGGGAAATGTAATAATCATTTTTTTGTATGCACAGAAACTCTCTCTGAGACCCTCTGCTAGGATGAATAGAATGAATAAACAGAATGAATGGGGAAACAAATCATGCCTTTGGACCATTATTTGTTCATGTGTATAACATGAGAGGACGCTGCCTTCAGGTCATGCATCTTTATGAAGCCTCTCCGCATCTACACATTGTCAGTCATTCCTTTTTGCTGTCTGCATCTTTTGCACACCTCTGTGATGCAAGATAGCTATACACAATGCATCATGTGAAAGGAATACAATCTTGAGAATGTCATTGTGTGCAGTGTCACATTTTACTCTCAGGCTGTGGTATCAGATGTTTGTATCAGCGTTTTTTCTTCTCTCTTTTGTCTTCCTCTTCCTCAGACCCTGTAGCCCAGGCTGACTCTTGTGCCAACCCTGGTGGGAACATCAGTGGGTGGGTACTTGACAGAGCCAGCGCCAGGGAGTTAATACTACTCAGTGCTGCTGGAGGTGTGACACAGTCCCAGCCCTCTGCACATTGATTCACACAGGATTAATCCACTGCATGATGCTTCAGGCGGAAGGCCTGGCACAGCTGATTTACCGTCCCTGTCAGACTTAACGTCTTTGGAGGCCTCCTCTGCCCTGCTCCTGTCTTCTGTGGAAGGACTAGTAAAGAGCATCTGCCACTGCACCAACCAGATCACCCAAAGGGATGACTGGCAGTCATCTGACTCAGGTACTTACTAATCATGCTGTGTCAGGTACTGTGTATTTATATGTGCTTGGAGTTGGGGGGTTGACTTTGAGGAGACTTGATAATTTCAGGGTGCAGATACATTGCTTTATCATATTTGTCCCAGTAATTTTGTCAAGGTAAACTATGAAAAAATTGTTTGTTGTCAACATTTTTGTCATGACTTAAAAGGTGTCAAACTAAACAAACAAAGACAATGGACAAATGAGCTAAGTATCCCACTGGGTAAGTGGATGGATGGATGGTACATTTAAAGGGACTGTTTAAACAGCAACTGATAAAAGCAGGTTAATGTGCAATGTCTGTTTTAGATTGTTCAGGGTGGGTATTGCAGAGGGAATGAAGGATTTCTTGTAGATGTTTATCCGGCCCAGTGGGACTTTGCACCGTCTGCCTGATGGCAGTAAGTGAAAGGAGTGATGGAGGGGATGAGGAGGGTCCTATGTGATCACGTTGGCTTTCCTGATCACCATACAGTTCAGTACTTGACAATTTTAATGCAAAGTGTTATGCAACACCCTGCATGTATGTGTAGAATCACATGCTCGGGGTCCTGATTAGTAACAGTGTTCTCTGCCACCCATGATATCTCTTGTTAAGAAGCTGATTTAGCTGCTTGACCTGCACTACCATTAATTAGAAGCATCTTGCATTCAGTAGCATATTGTTTCTGTTAGTAATGTTATCGGATGTTATCAGTTTTTGGGTCAAACAGATTTATGGACTAAATTCATCTGCTGTCAGCTGAGAATTAGACAAGAAGAAGCAATAAAACAGCTGGGGAATTAATTCAAAAACATTCAGGCAGCATGCTGAAACCTATTAATAGGTAAGCTAATGAAACGTTATCAACTGCTGTGGGTATATTGTGAACAATACTCTCAAGTGGCTAACTTTTGTGCTGCTATCAGAAGGAATGAGTATGTTTCAGGATTAATGTTGATGGTCAACAAAAGAGACATCACTCTTATCCAACATTTTAGCTTCTCCTCTCAACCTAAACCCAGACAATGAATAATATTTTAGTAAACAAGTGAGTGAATCCACGTCTGAATGATTTGCTGAAGAGCACAGGTAGCTGCGGTAATTCTAGGTGATAATTCTAGCTCAAAACAGACATATTTTGGAAATTATTTCTGGGTTTACAGAAGAGAGTAAGTCTGCTTTATTATGAGCAGAGTGACATGTACACTGTGTGTGTGAACGAATACACAGGCCCTTACCACAAAACGGGGTGATAGATGAGAATGACACCTGTAACTGTGGCAATTGTAAGCAACAAATATGGCAACAGCTGTAGCCTCAAAATACTTAGAATAAATATAATTTTCACTTGCACAAAACGAGATTGAAATGTCAAGTCTTTTGATGACTAAAGCCAAATACATTCGAACCCTGTCCTCAGACAAGAACATTGATTTGGGGCAAATCAACAAATCCCTGGATGACATGTAATGACAGTTTGTGTTTCCTCATGTCTGATGTTATGCTTTATGCTTTTACATTTGCATCACAACTATAGTATGGTTACGACTGGGGAGGGTTTGTTATTATGGTAAATACATGAAAATCAAGCCACAGTATGGGTAGGGGTACATTGCAGGTTTATGATGGGCCAAAGAATCCAATCTCCTGCATAAATAGCGAACCTGCTACACACCCATCCACCGCCCCAACCTCCACACCCCTACAGTTCACCTTGCCAAGGGCCCACTACTTCCTGCTTTGGCACTGATTGTTGGCATTGGATGTAAATAGGGAGGTGCAGATTCATCTAGTATGGATGTAATTCCCAGGATACTGGACTGATCAGTCCATTTTAGCTTGCTTTCAACTCCTTTTCAATCAGCAGTGCCCATTTTATTGTACAGTCATGATCAAAAGTCCAAAGAGGCAAAACCTTTTTGGAGGTTGACAAATACACAGTATGTCTCAGGGCTGTCATCATCTGTTCAGCCAAGACAATTTGGAAGTCGTCTTTGTTAGAGTTCTGAATAGAATAACTGAAACCATGTCGGAAAAATTGAGGAATAAAATGGAGATGGACAGCAGTACTCTCAAATATCAGTCCATACAGTGACAGATGAATGCATGGGGACCCACAAGCCTGTGATCAAAGGAATACAAGAAACCGTGCTGCACATTGCCGTTCTGATTGTTTCAATGCTGTCATGGTCATTCCTGCCAGTGGAAACATCTGCAAAAATCAGCGTCTTTGGGCGAGAAAGGATTTCTGTCTTTACATTGCCAAACCCAATCAAAAACAATTACATGCACCAAAACGTGAAGAAAATATTTGCAGCTGTGTTAACCTGAATATACTGGATGCAGCACACAAAGAAGAGCACAGGGACACGGGCTGAGAATGTGAAGAGAGAATGAGCTGGTTGGCCATATAATTATGTGAAAATCCAGGGAAGAGGTTGGCATCTCTGGAAAACGTACTGGGATCAAATGCCTTTGTTTCCACTCCAGGCAGAACTGGCTGCTTGGCTTATTTAAAGAGAGGCTGGAGAATCGCATGGTGATTGTTCAGAGCCTTGGCATATCAAATTAGCTTTTGCCATTCATTTGGAAAGATCTAATCAAACATTAATTATTGTGACCACCTGTGAAAGAGGAGGCTGTGAAGTGTTGCTCATCTGTTCCCTTATGGTAGCTGCAGGGTCCTTACTCTCTGAATCGAGTGAGTGAGACCCAAGCAAGGAACACAGGAGACACAGAAGCAGATTGCATTCCATCAGATCGCGCAGTATCTAATAGGATGCACAGCAGCATCTGAGCCACGCTGCTGTTTGCCAGGTTTTCTGTGACCACTGAGAGCCTGGCATGATTTCTTTGACCCAGATATTTAGCAGCTTAAGAGCTTTTCTTTTTTAAGATTTTCAGGATAGCCTGCATTCCCCTGCTATAGACTGGATGAGCTGTATGAACGCAGTTGCCACTTACAGTTTAAACCGACAGGCTTTAAGACAAGCAGCTAGTCCTTTTATTTTGCAAACCATATCTAACACTATGGTAATCTTACATGTCAGTCTTTGAAAAACAATACTAGGATGCCTTGGGGTCATGCTTTTTTTCATTGCTTGTTTTTTTTTGTTCAAGAGCATGTTTTCCAATCAGTTGTGACATGTTCTGTCAGTCTATGGAGAGCGATGCCTGCCCCATGAATAGTTAAATTAGACTGGCTGGAGGGAGGATGTAATCTGGGTGCAGTCAGGTATTTCTTCCAGAGCAGTGCAGCCTGAGAAGTTGGCTAGTAATCAGCAACCAGAGGTGTCTAATTGGCATATGGCTGTGTAAGTGCCAGACTACTCTGCTCATTCATCCAAACAGAATAAATTCTCTGGCTACCAAAAAAATGTAAAACAAAGGCAGTTTTCAATAAAACAAAACAAAAAAAATGCTATTTAAAGTGGATGAGTTCTTTATATCAGAGAGAGCAATTAACCCTTTCACTTTTCTGTGAGCTGACAGAATTCAAGTGATGTGCCACATACAGCATATGCCTGTATTGTATGTGTGAAACCGAAGCTTCAGATCTGCAGATTGCTATTGAGGACAGATACAAAAGAAAAGAGGTGAATGTTGAAATGCCAAACCCTGAATTCGTGTTTGAAAGCCCCTCTGACACAAAGAGACCAAAACACTCCACACCATAGAATAAACACATCAGCCCCGGAGGAAAATTGGACAGTCCATCAAAAAAATGACTGGGCATCTGGCAGCCCACCTCTGGGCACTGGGCCATCTCCACCCAGCAATTCTTTCTCATTAAACAAATTTCACCCCACCAAAGCACAGCTAAAGCAGAAAAAGTCAAAATCTAATTTTCCTGAATGAAATCAAGCAAAAAATAATCAAGCACCCAGCGCTTTCACAGACACGCCATGTGTAAATAATCTTAAATCTCCAATGCCCGCTGCCTCTCAGTAGTTAATCTACCATCAAATACTCTCTATGATTCTCAGTTATCGAGGCAAAATGTAAACCCAGTGTGTTGTGGAGATCTGAAACATTGAAAAAAATGAAATTAAAACAGATTTTCTTTTTTGTTGTGATGCACTTTATAATTAAATTTAGTGTTTTGATGACAGTTACATTTGACTTTAGGGTCCAGTGTGTAGGATTTAGGAGGATATACTGGCAGAGCTGGGATAAAATATAATGTTTTTTTATATTTTATAATCACCTAAAAATAAAAATTGTCATGTTTTCATTACCTTAGAGTGAGCCATTTATATCTACATAGGAAGCACATCCTCGTCCACAGAGTCAGCTATATTTCTAGAGTAGCCCAAAACGGACAAACCAAACACTGGCTCTAGAGAAGGCCGTTCATGTTTTTGTGTTTTTGCATAAGCCACTGTAGTAAGCAACCCCTCCACAACAAGTTGAACAGTATCGGAAAAAAAACACTGATTCTTAACATGAAACTGCTTTATTTAGTGTTTTTACTCGTTTAAATCACTGTATCTGTTTTGGCAACCCAGTCTCACTCCGATGTTGTTGAATGTTGGGTCTCGGGCAGTGACTTCTGGTGTCAGACACTGACTAAAAAGGCCTTCTTTCCACGTTGGCATGATATGAGGCCGGTCTGGCGGCGTCAGGTCGAAATGCGGCGGGACAACAACTCTAGTTAAGGGGGCAAAAGTGGGATGGGTGGGTGGGGCGGTGGATGGATCCAACAACCACTGAACTTCACTCAGGAGGCCGGCGTTTGCTTCCCGTAAGATTGTAAAGCCAAACTGTAAACGAGGTTGATAAACGTTGATATGTGATGAGGTTGTAGTGAGAATGTGTCTGTTTTGGAGAGGAGGAGACCGCGGAGGATAATTCGACTGAAAGGATCCTAACAGGGAGTTCAAGCTTGGCACATGGGAGGAGATTTCCTCATTGCCAGATATGATAAATTCTACACACAGCACCTTTAAAACTCTAAATCTCAAAATAAACTTGATAAATTAATTGTCTGACCAGTTTATCACTGATACCAACTTGTGAATATCATTGTATTTCTCAGTGTGCATTTACTTGATTAACTACTTCAATCCCTTATTATTATTCTCTTGTATTAAACAACCCTCTGTGTTGCACAATTAATGCAGTTGTATTCAATTTTATGCCAAATTATGTGTTACAGTTCGTAGTTTTCCTGTGAATCAAATTGGCTTTTCGATTGTATGTGGAGTTCATGATTGCAGAATGACAGGAAACTGCAGGGAGTGCTCTGTGGGATGATAAACCAATAATAACAAATCTCACAATACCCCAGTGTAACAGTGCAGCAAAATTTGTTTCCGGAAAATGAATCACCACAGTCATGAGCACCGTAACATCAGTCTCTCAAAGCATCAGGTGTTACAGATTCAAATCCATATTCATTAATTTTGCTGTTGGTGCAACACAATTAGAGACCCAGTGAATCCAGGACTAATCCCCACCACTCCTAGGACATGAATCACAGTAGCAGGAGATAGGAATAAATGAGCTGCAATAAAAAGGTACTAATACCCTGTATTACTCCAAGCTTAAAGTCTCCCTCTCCTTCAATACATGTGTCCACTTCTACCTCGGGAGGCTGAGATGCTCAAGCCTCTCTGACTAATTATTTTTGGTCTATGTGTGAGGAGAAGCAGGCATGATATCACACTCATATGCTGGATTAGAAATAAATAAATAAAAAAGACACACTGTGATTCATGTGTGAGAGAGTGTTATACACTTTGGAAGGTGACAGTGAAAGTCATGTTTCTGGGCTGGAGGTTTCAGTGGGACATTTTCTACACAGCAGCCTCAGAGTGTCTGACACCTTCTCCACTTTCCCCATTTTTAAAGAGTGTACACACAGCCTCTTCCTCTGGTTTCTCTGGCCCAGGTCTCTCTCCATTTTTATGAGTGACTTACTGATGAATTTCATGTTCTTCCCGCAGGAGTAAGAGAGGAAGCAATGGGCTGGACTATGACTCTAAAAGATGACTTTGGGGTCATTGCCTGGACACGGCGAGCTGGGAACTACCTCAGCCTCTTCCTCCTCTTGTCTCTCTTTTCCTTTTCAGTCCAGTCAGACATTGTGTTTCCTAAGGACCATCACTTCTCTTGGAAAGCAGGTAAAATTCTTCTTCTTTTTCTCTCTAAATGTGTGAATCACTGGATGTGGTCACTTATAAATCCACACACTAAGATATACAACTACACTTATTACACGGCTTTGCTGAATACTTATTTCTAATTGGTCAATTACAGCATTATGGTCGGCTTTTCTCAATAGCAGACCATTGCTATGGACACATTTTTCACCCTTAACAGGAGCCATAAAATCATTTTAAAATCAATAAATCATTTTTAATTTAATTACTGTGGCAAATTATTGATTACTTCAGGCAGCCATGTTATAAATGAGATAATGTACAGTGAGCGGGTCATTATTACAAAATAAACCCTTACAGGACGTGCCCACAGGAACATTTTTTTGCTGAGAGGTGCTGCCATAGATGTGCATGCATGACTGTGTATGTGCACACGCTTCAGACAGTTATACCTCACTACAAACAACTGTTTGAGACCAGACAAATGACAAAACTTGGTGTTTTTTAGAGAGACATCGGCAGCATTTCAAGCTGTGATTGTGCCACCGAAAGAGGATTTTTAAAGCCAAAATTAGATATTTTTCTAACCATAACCAAGTGTTTTTGGTGCTTAAACATAACCACAAGTTAACTCGTTTCTCTCTGGTCTGCATGTGACAAAAAAATCTAAGATGGTCTTTTGAATGGTGGCAGACATCCAGTTTTCTGTTTGCTTAGGCCACTCATGTCCCCTGGGCTGTTCATAAAGTTACGTCTGCCCGTCTGCCACTTCACCATTAGCTGCTATAAAGCTACATCCCGATGGTTGTGCCCACGCAGTGGAAGTCCGTGGCATCCAAGGTATTTTATGGCTCTAAAAAGCAATTTTCTGGTCTTTCTCTGCTTGATCAGCCTGTCCATACTCTTGATTAGCTCCCCCCTACTGCAAATCTCTCCCCAAGTTTCTGACCCCAACCCTTGTACTTTGACCTGATGTAATGACATTGTCACATCAGATTGGAGGAATTAATTAAATTTGCACATTTTAAACATCTTTTTGATATATCTCCTGAGAAGCAGCTCTTCATATGCTGTTCAGAATTTTAAAAAATGTTCAGGTATCACATGAATTAAAATAAAAATAGCCAACTGATTTACAGACTATGTTGTTCTGACCCATGTCAGTACGGGGTGCTGCAGCACCCTCAGCACCCACCTTCCCGTGCCCACGCTAGCGAGTGATTCAGCATCCGCAATAGTAGGCTTTTTTGGACCAAACAGTTTTGGAGACTCCCTGAGAGGAACTGCCCAAGGGGAAGCTCCTGCACACACTACCGTCAAGAGCTTTTTTCTGTTTGCATTGGCACCGCCAATAGGAATGGTGATTTTTTTTTTTTTTTTTTGGCAAGCTGTTTGTCATTTGTGTTGTCTGTTGTTAACACGTCTCACGGGTTTAAAAATGGCGGCCACCGGTGCTGCATTGGCTCATTTGTTAGACCAATCAAGGTACGCTTACATCAGTCAATGTCACTGTTCTGTTGGGAGAGAACCTAATCTGAGACAGGAGCTTAAAAAACAGCGTCCTAGTTCTTGCGCTACGGGCACAATAAATAGAGGGATTTCAGAAGGGTTCTCAGAACTATGAAAAAGTTCCTCTGGTCCAAAAACACCTAATGACCCGCTCCTCGCTGTGCATTATCCCTTACTTAGCTGCTAGCATTTGCCAAGGTTGCTCCAATGGTGTTCTATAAAAATACATTTCTTTTTTTTTTACCATTCAAGTGTAAGGATTTAACAAGACAGACCTCTGTGAACCCGTTAAGGTTCATACAGTACAGTACAGTTGCATATGCTGCATTTGTGGGCATAAACACACACGCATGCATGCACACACAGGCACACATACACACACCTATGCACACGCCAGAGATAGAGACTGTGTACACACAGCAGAATCAGACAGTCATTACTACTTCTCATTATAGGGGAAAAATACTGTACAAGTACATTTATTTTCAGTGCGACCAGTCCTGCAGGGGAAAGTAATCCTCCTTTTTCTGACACACAATGTTGGGAAGCATAAACCTCAGGCTGCTATTGGACATCATCAAGCCAGAGGGCCCTTATTCCTGGGCAGTTAGCATAATAATACCTTCCTTCTGACGGACTATCCATCCCCAGCCCTGTGGTGACAAGCAGGTCTTGGATTGCTACCATAATGATGTGCATTCTGTAGTAACATGACATGGTTAATGAGACGTCGGTGCACAGTAAATAATCATGCGCTGTTCTGCTAAGGATTTATGGCCTTGGTAATGTCTGGTTGACATGGTTTCAGTGAACAGCGTGCTGCATAGAGTATATGTATTGTTCTGTAAATGTCGACTCTAATTATATTAGTTTTTTAAGTGTTTCTATATGTTACTATTTCAATATTTTATATTGAAGCATCTATCATATTTGTGAGATAATCGTGCTTGGATAACTGCATTGAAAGCTGATGTCATACATCACTCTCTTATACAGAGAATTTGAGGTAATCTCACAATTCATCCTTCACTCGCTTAACAAATTCAATTGAAAATGCATTTCCAAAGCAGCTTGAGGAGGAAAACTTGGCCTTCCCACACAAACGCCCCACTTGCTGTGCGATTAGCACTTTCATTTCTCACTCTGCGGTTGGGTAATGACACTGCCCAAGTGATAAAGAGATTGATTAATTTCACTTGAAAGAGCGTATGTTCAAAAGGGATGTAACCGGGACACCAAGAGTGAGGATTTGACATCCTTGCAGTGCTAAGATGGCTTATGAGTTGTTTCTTAACTGGAATGAAAACCACTTTGGAGACAAGAAAGAATCTTTAACTTAACATGCCTCACCTCTGAATATATCCACCTCCAGATGACTGTTTGACTCTGGGGAAAACTGAGAGTCCATTACGATCGGTATCATAGTGCTTTGATGTTAAATTTAACAACGGAAACTACGATAAAGCGTGTTGTATTACACCTACCATACTCACAAAGAGTTGTAAAAGGCTTTTTAAATACTAAAGTCTGCCCCCCTCTCACATCTCAAGACAATATGATTTATTTTTTTAGTCACAAATATTATGTTCTTCTTCATAATATTCACTCGGTGTCTCGCCATGGGATGCAGCCTCCTGCAGCCCTGATAGAAGTATTTATCTCAATCTGCCAATCTTGATTGGCCGGTGAAAGGTGTTCATCCGTGCTGCACCCAGTAGTCCCACCTACTATATATAGTGCGCGCAGATAATGCTCCCTCAATTCAAAAACTCTTCTCACCTGAGAACTTATCTCACGTCGGAGCTTTCACTGGCTTAACTGTTCACCAGACGGATCTTTGCTAGCTTCTGTCGCTGGACGCTAGTGTCATGCTCTGGCTTCTGCCTTGTCCGTTCACACCAGACCGGACCGGAAGGTATTTTTTCTTCCAGCCCCTACATGGCAGAATTCCTCTCGGCTCCCCACCACGGATGCTGGTCGGTCGAGCTAAGCTAGCATAACAGCTACTCCTTTCGACCCCACGCTAGCACACCAGCTAGCCACGACCATTTTCTCCGTTAGCACTCCAGCTTGTCGGCAAGGTGGCGACCGCTAAAGATCACACCAGAGGAGATTTTCGGCTCTGTTGCTGTGGGAATAAAATCTCGGGGGAAGGACGCCCACCCGGTGTGCAGTACTTGCCTTGGGGTTGACCACGCCAGGTTAGCCCTTGAGATTCCCGGGTCCTGTGGACACTGCAAAGTGTTCACAGTCAAGAGCCTCAGACGCAGGCTAGCCCGCCAAGTTAGCCTCACGGGCCATGACCCGTTTGTCCCCACCGCTGACCAAGGTGCAGCCGCGGAGGAAGACGAGGACATGGCCGGGCAAGCTCCGGAGACTGGCTACGACTGGGACGCCCAGTGCGAGCAGCTCCGAGCTCCCCCGTTTCCCGAGGAAGACATGCTGGAGATTGGCATCACGGCGGATGACGATGACACCTCGTTCCTCATATCAGAGGACGAGGAGGAAGACGACATCTTCGTGACTCCAGCCCCGGCTGAAAAGCCAAAGCTGCCCACTTCCAACAGAGAGGAAAGCGGGGTGAGCTCTCCAGCTCCCTCCCTCCATGTGGACCTGCTCGACATGTGTAAATGTGTGGCAGAGAAGCTGGAGGTACCCTGGCCGGTTGAAGTAGTGGAGCCCACCCAGTCCCGCTACGAAGGCAAGCGGCTCCCCCTGGCCCGTAGTGCGGTGAAACAGCTTCTCCCTGTCTTCCCCGAGTTGCTGGCCAAGCTGTCCAAAACTTGGAGTAACTGCCCGTACAGCAACAGCCTGGGCACAACATCCCTCGACTGCGAGGCAATGGAAGCCCATGGATGGATAGCTCTCGGCCAGAGCTCTCAGCACTCTCTCCATCCTCACTGCCTACCAGGCAGAGCTGTTTGGGGCGTCCGCTGACGAGCAGGACCCCGACGCGTGGGAGGAAATGGGGGTCATCGCTGATTTATCCCTCCGCATCCAGCGTGTCTCAGTCCAGGCCACGGGCAAGGTGATGGCAACCCTCGTCATTCAGGAGCGAGCGAGATGGCTCAGCCTCGCTAACTTGAGTGACAGGGAGCAGGATGACATACTGGATATGCCAATTGTCCCAGAGGGTATCTTTGGCTCTGCATTGGCCACGATGCAGCAGAGATGTGAGGCAAAAAAGAATGACAACGAAGCCCTGAAACTTTGTCTCCCCCACAAAGCACCCACGCCTTCTCCTGCAGTGCAGCGCAAATCGTTTGCTCAAGCTGCTTCCCAGCATTTCAAGATCCCGAAGCAGCCGCAACAGCCCGGCCCACCCCTCCCGCTGAGGAAGGAGCCCAGAACCGGCTGGCACAGAAAGTCTCCCACCCCGACCGCAGTCCCGCCACCGCCACCCCTGACCACCGCGGCCTCGGTCCCCCAGGCGAGGAAGAAAAAGAGAGCGGCCTGACAGCCGTCCTCTCTCTGGGTGGAGCATCCTGCCATTCCCCGTTACGCAGG